ATGTAATATATATATATATATATAATCTGCAGGCATGTTTCTGAGTTATGAATACTTGTGAGATTCCCTAATGTGGGACTTATAACAGAGCACTCCTCTTGAGAGCCGACGTCCCCAGTAGCTCCACTTTACGGCACTTCACTTGGTTTTCTTACTGGTTAGAACCCTTTGCAGATAGCCCTTTTCAGTTGGCCAACTCTCAATGAAAGCAACAATGTGATGAATATAAGTCCACAGGGAGAGCCCATCCCAAAAGACTAACCTATTAGGAGGGAGAGTCCCTTCAACTTATAAACCCCACAACACTTGTGAGATTCTCTAATGTGGGACTCATAACAGAGCACTCCCCTCAAGAGCTGACGTTTTTGGCTGCTCCACTCTACGGCACTTCACTCAGTCTTTTTACCGATCAGAACCCTTCGCAGGTAGCCCTCTCCGGTTGGCCAACTTTCAATGAAACAACCAATGTGATGAGTATAAGCTCAAAAGGAAAGCCCATCCCAAAAGACTAGTTTATTATGAAGGAGAGCCCCTTAAACTTATAAACCCCACAAGATTTGTGAGATTCCCCAATGTGGGACTCATAATACTCTCTCCCATTAGTTGGGCTCCATGATAACTTCAGCCACCCAGCATATTCTACAAATTGTTTTTGTTTGGCAAAAACGATGTCCTATAGATTATACATGAAGAGTGTTTCATGCCTCTTTGTATTTTCAGAAGAAAACTCCATCACCATTATTTCATTGAGGTGTTCAAAATATTTTATATAAGCAAATGTGTGGATAAAGGAATATGCCATATGCCATATCCATTGGTATTTATAAGTCATTTTTGCGAAGCATTTGATGTTATTTGTCAGTCATTTTATAAAATCTATGAAGTAATTAATACTCCATTCAGTCCCTATCATAAATTTTTCCCCAAAAAAAAAGGATGGTCATTAACAATGAGAGGATGTAATAATAATTTGAAATAGTAGTATTTGATTATTTTCATTTAAATATGGGTAATAGCGGAAATTTATCCGGTTTTCAAATGAAGCTAATTATTTTACCACCTCCTCTTATTAGTGCCGGTGAGGTGGTTACAGGTATATACTATAATAAGAATCAGGTGAAATGTGTTTTTAATAGTGACCCTCGTATCTTATGGTGACAAAGAGTATGGTTTATGCAAATGAGTAAGATTATGTTGGGATTTTTTTTTTTTGGACTGAATGTTGGAATTTATTATACCTAAGATTCGTTTTAACAAATGAGTAACTTATAAGTAGAAAAGAATGAAGTACGTAAGTAGGTAATTATGTTTGAGGCCGAATGAAAACGAAGTAAATAATTATCTCTAATGCGACCCTCACTCTAGTTTGACTCCAGTTTATATTATCGCCAATCAAAGGAAATAAGAAATGGTGGGCCAGAAGCAAAATAGCCCATTTTTCAACTGGCCGTTCTATGGGCCTTACTAACATTAGTTATCGATCACGATTGTGAATGTTGCTTGGGCCTACCGAAAATGGATGTTGCTAAGTCCGGATCATTCCAGGGTTTGACCAATCTAAAATTGGGCCTCCATAACATAGTCCGAAGCTCTATACTATATTGGGCTTAATTAGTGACCCAGTTTGGCCCAAAGGGTAATCCAGCTATGTTCTCACTCTTCTCGCGAGCATCATTTTCTTTTTGAGATTATTAGGCCACCTATCAATTCGTCAAGCCTTGCAAGCCCATATCTTTAGCCCAATAGAAGCCCATCATGTAACCTGGGTCCTCTCATTTTTTGTTCATAAAACAAAAGCCCATTTACCCTTGGTTTACTATACTCTCACAATTTTCCATCAAATAGGTGTTTAATTTCAAAAAATTGAAGTTTTCATCCAAAATAAAGTTTACTTGTGTTTTTAAATTTCAAACTATAAAGGATATTTGTCTAATTTTAATAAAATGCAAGAGATATTTAGAATGATATGATCTATTTTTATAATATTTCATATTAATTTTAAAAAAATTATTCTAACAAAATTAAGAAAAGTGCAATACACCAAACTAAGATAATAACTCCCACTTGCATGCATAAAAACCTACCCCACTCTTTCCCTCCATAATTACCAAATAGATATTTCATGACCAACTGGATCTGTAATCATGGGATGCGGGGTCCACCCATCACATTCCAATTTATATTGACAAGATTTTAGCTTTTTGTTTGGATTTATTATTTATCATTGTATTCTATTATACCGCTTGACTTAAACAGAATATTTTTTTCGATCTTAAATATAAAAATTAAATAATTTAATTTATAAAAATAAAAAATAAATTGAATTAATTATATGTAAAAACTGTGCATTAGTTTTCTTAAATATTTCCTTTAATTACGTGCATTAGTGAGAATTCCTTTTTAACATAAGTCATCACTGGTCACTAGAAATAGTTTAGAGCCACCGAAGGTTGGTTTGGTTAGTGATGGCGAGTTGGCCCATGACCTTAGTCTGAATCGAACCCTTAATATGAAGATTTTGTCCCTGAGCGATTTGCAAGTATTTTAGTTGTTTTTTGTTAGATACGGGCATTCTCTTTAAAAATATATATATAATTATATTCAAAGTACTGTTAAGCACTACGTATAGATATTTTTTTAAATGAAGATTTAACCTTAGTTTATCGGTGCGAAGGACTAAATTCAGTCTTTTTTATTATCTATGCAAGTTTTTTTGAACATGGAGATATACTTTCAGTTGTGGGTCACAACTTAAATTACCTAAAGGGAAAATTACAAATAAAAACTTCTAAATATGTAAAATTATGATTTGAGACCTTGAATTTGAAAAATAACAAATAAAGACTTGGTCTTACTTTTGCAAATCTGAAATGTGGGTGAAATGTCTAAAATGCTCCTCAGTCAAATTGTGATTTGGTTTATTGAAGTTGTCATTCGCTAAAATGAACTTATCATTTTTCATAGTCAACTCGTCATTTGGCATATCCTCAGCCAAGTTGTGATTTGGTCAACTGAAATTATCATTCATTAAAGTGAACTTATCATTTCTCATAGTCAACTTGTCAGTTGGCTGAAGGGCATTTCAGACATTTTATATTTGCAAAAGTGGGACAAGTTCTTATTTGCTATTTTTAAAATTCAGATCCCAAATCATAATTTTACATATTCAGGGATTTTTATTTGCAATTTTTCCTTGCCTAAACTTTATTTTATAAAAAAAATACAAATAATAATGCAACATGATGAGATAAATAATACTGTCTTCAGTCTTTAATATAAAACTAATTAACTAATTTAAGTAAATTAAAAAATTTGTTAAGTTAGATATTTGTAATAAAGAAGTATTATTTTACTAAAATATTCTTGCTAGTTATATATGTTAGCTAGAATTATTATTTGATAAAATTTTTAACATGTACAACTACTATAAACATTATTTTAATAAATAAATAAATATAAAGATAAAGTATATTGAACTTGTAATTAAAAGTTAAATAAATTTTTATATTAAAAAAAAAGACTAAAAGGTGGCCAAAATAAAGGATGGAAATTTTGTTGGGAGGCTCGTTAAGAACACATTATGATTATGTTCCCACAGTTTTTTTGTTCTTTTTGGGAAAACAGTGGGATGTATGGGCCAATTACAAATGTGTGGGGAGTAATCTTTATCTCTATTGGAAAAGCCTAAAAGTCACAGTGCCCAACCAAGCTCTTTTATGTATTTTCATTGTATTTTCGGACTTATACATCACATCCACCTCAAACCATGAGCTCTCCAATGACTTTAATATAAATATGTCTCAATCAAATGCTAAACATGGGAAATGGTCTGAACGGACCAAAATTGTCATGACCACCCTGTTTTATTGCTTCTCTCTCCTCCTTTGCCCCACCTCAACTCAACGTCAGACGTCATATTTACTATTTAGCCCTTTCATTCTCCCTTGCGTAACTCAATTCTATTTCAACCAAAAGTGCAAATAAAAAATATATATCAATAGTTAAAATTATCATGATTTCATCCATAAAATCAAATACATAGCCAGTCATAAATCCGTACGTATTTGTAATCCTAGTGCCGGTCCTCTATTTATTTTTCAAAACAATTGACAAAGTAAAATTTCATGGCTGACCGTCATCTTTACAAGTAACTCTTGAAATAAGAATAAAATTTTTCTCATATGTCCAACTCGTACAAGACAAAATAAATTAGGATAAGCTCATCCAAACAAGGGCCTATTTGAATTTCTATGGTAATCTGTCAATTATACGAGTTAAAACCATTATATATATTGAAGAATGCCCAAATACGCCTTATATAAATCAAAATCAATTATCAGCCAAACACCCTTTTGAATGTTCAATGAACTCAGCTTTGTGACAGCGAGAGCGGGAATCTGCCCGCTCACCAGCCTTCCAGAAAGAAGATATTTTTTTATCTAAAACAGGGTATTGAGAAATTTTTTTATATAGATATATTTTGTTTATATAACGTATAATATATACTCTTTCAGTCTTTAATATAAAACTCATTTAATTAATTTGATTAGATTAAAAAAGTTTAGTGAGTTAGTTAATTATAAGAAATGTGACACATTTTTTCTAAAACATTATAATCATCTTTCTTAATACTTCTTTTTCCCTTTTTTACTTGATTATATTGAGAGGGTATTCATAAGAATAATTTAGAAAAAATTAATAAATATGAAAAATTAGTCTTATATTTAGGATTAAAATTAACTCAATAATTGAATTATATATTAAGGTCCGGAAGAGTATTAAATAAAAATAAAATTAAAAAATTTACTTAATATTTTTTTTAAATATATATGAAATATGTTCGAAATAATTTATAAATGGTAAACAAAGGTGGAACGAAGCAACCACTGACAGTGACAATGTGGGCCACACAACCATGGCTCTGTGAAACAAACAAACGAAACAACTTCTGAATCTCATCTGACAAAAAGATAAAGTTCCGATCACCTCGTTGGAATTTGAGAATCTTATCCATCCATCTCAGTCTAACGTAGTCTTTGAATCCACGCCCACAATAACATTTTAACCAGCTCAACTCAACCATGGATTCAGGCAAGATCCTTCCTTTATAAATACCAATCCAATCCACCATGAAAATTCCTATCCCATTCCTTTCGTTGTGAGAGTTTGACAGATTCAGAAATTCAGAATGTTGGCTATTTTTCACAAGGCGTTTGCTCATCCGCCGGAAGAGCTTCACAGTCCTGCTTCGTATAAAGGATCTAAGAAGCCTAAGCTTCCTGAGGAGACTCTCAGAGAGTTTCTTTCTCGCCATCCAGACAACACTTGCTCTATGAGCTTTGGTGAGGCTGCCGTGCTTGCCTATGTCCGTCCTGAGCGACCATTTTCCATTCATCAGAGGTAATTCTTCATCATATCTCACAAGCTTCTGGTTTTTGGTCCACGGTGAAGAAACCCATTTCGTCTCTTTTCTTCTTCCATGAAGCAAAGATCGTTGCTTTTCTGATCCATGTTTTTTCTTGTGTCCATCGAATTAAGGTCCTTGTGTTTTGTCTGTGGTTATGCATTCCGAATAAAGAGACCCCACTTTGGGATTTTCACATTCGCAGGTTGTTTTGCGGGCACGACGACATATACTGTCTCTTCCTGGGGAGCTTGAACAATTTAAATTTGCTGAATAAGCAATATGGGTTGACAAAGGTGACCAGCGAGGCCATGTTTGTGATTGAAGCTTACAAGACTCTTAGAGACAGGGGACCTTACCCTGCAGATCAAGTTGTGAAGGATCTTGATGGCAGCTTTGCCTTTGTTGTCTATGACAGCAAGGTTGGAAGCGTTTTTGCCGCACTGGTATGTCTGCCATGGACCGTGTTTTCCAGATCGAAACCAGTTAATTTGTGACCAGCTAATCCATGCTCATCATAAAGAATTTCAACAAAAAAATAAGAAAAGAAAAAGAAAACACATCTGGTATATGAAATTGAAAAGATAAACTTGATTTCAGGGGTCAGATGGTGGAGTGAAGCTGTATTGGGGAATTGCAGCAGATGGGTCCGTTGTTATCTCTGATGATCTCGAAGTCATAAAAGAGGGCTGTTCCAAATCGTTTGCTCCCTTTCCATCTGGTACTGTTTCAGCTCCATTACTGGTTTACCATGGACATATCTTTAGGCGTCAATCTGTTTGGATAATCCTAGAAGAACCACTTTTTCATTTTACAAAACAAAACTCCTATCTCGTATTTACTTTATACAAGGCAGTGTCACTTAAAATAAGCCAAATCAAACAAAAGTACTTTCAAATCATAAACCCTCTTCTTCAATTTCTGTAAAAAAAGAAGAGAGTGGATAGAGATGACGAAGGGGGTGATGATTGTTTATGTGTTATATTTGCAGGGTGTATGTTTCACAGTGAAGGAGGACTGATGAGCTTTGAACATCCAATGAATAAGGTAAAGGCGATGCCAAGGATTGACAGTGAAGGGGCCATGTGTGGGGCCAACTTCAAGGTTGATAAATACACCAGAATCAACAGTATTCCTCGCGTTGGAAGTGAAACCAACTGGATGGATTGGGACCATCACTGACCTCAAGTTCAATAATATCACTTTGTCTTTTTATTATTAGGCACAAAGAGCTAGGCCCCACTTGAATAGGGGGTTGCCAAGCTTCTATTTCCTGGTTTCTTTTCTTTTTAACTCTACTGTAGAATATTATTGAGAGAGATCAATAAACTTATGTCTTGAAATGTCAATTACAGGGGGAAAAAAGGTGGCTGCTACTTGCTAACTACAATCATAAAATAATGTCTGTCAACCACTGAAGCTTATCCTTTCCTTCCCTCACAAAACAAAGAACAGAACAAAACTACTATTGCTGTTTTTGAACTTGTTTTCAAGTTGAGAACTTCTCATCATAATAATGCCATGTTCCCTTCTGAATAATTTGAATATGGTTGAGTTGCAAAGTTGGTGCTGTATAAGTTAGTTTGATCTTCCACGAATTAACCGGCGGATATCCGCGAAGGAAATCCATTTTAAAACTGCTTCGCTAGTTATATATACTATTAGTATTTATGTTATTTTCCTCAGAAAAGGACTTGCTGATATTAATTCAAATCCCTCACTCATTGCGTAGAAAGAATGTGCAGACAAAAAGACATACACTCACAAGCTAAGTGGCAAAAAATAAAGGAAGAAAGAAGATATCTGGACCAAATATGCATGGACAATGTTGTTGCACTGTGTAATAGTAAATTAGACTTACAAATCCTTTTAAAAATAACAAAAACTAGTAGTAGAGCTATGGCTTGAGCCAGAAACAATTGGCCCAATTTTGTATATGCGACTCAGCTCCACCAATATAATGAAAACTTGAATCTGATAAGCAAAACATTCCAAAGTCAATATTCCAAAGCCGACGAGTTCCGTGGTACTTGTTCAAAGCAAAATAAATGCAGTTTCTTCTCCCGTTTTTCTCTTCCAAACCAAGCGTTGAGATCAACCTGCAGCTTTTTTCGTCCACAAAAATCAAACGACCACCCAAGTCTTTAATCTCCATCCATTCACAAACCCCTTCACAATTTCTGGTTCTTTCCAACTCGTAAACCTTAAATCTACTTGTGTTACCTCTAACTAGTATCAGATCTCCAAAAAATACATCATATGCCAAGTAAACAGCTATACCTTTGCTGATATCAGCTCGCTTAGGGTTAACGACGATAAGTTTTTCAGACTTGGGAGCATTATGATTGTTGTTGTCATTAGACTTATCCAAGTCAATGAGATTATAAATTTCTATGTCTTCATCACAAAGACCGTATAATAAATTTCCAGTGATGACTATGTCTATAAATGTTGTACCTCTCCCAATTGATTTCCATGACTTATCTGTTATTTTGCAGAAAATAATCCCACAAGAAGTAAGACCCGCCACAAAAACTGGCTCATCTTTAGGGCAATTATCATATGGAGCTGAGGATGCCACCATTTTTGTGATATTGGGAATCTGGTCATCATCCTTATCCTTCATTATTTCTGATGGTAACATAACCTTAGCCCAAGACATAGGGTGGAAGAAGAAGAGGTTGATGAGTGAATACTTAGTTTTATTTGAGCTGGTCCAAAGAAAACCCTTAGCTTTTGTGGGTTCCGCCATTATTAACCAACAGTTAACTGTGCCAAGAATGAGTTGATTTCTTGGGTATATTTTATTCTCAAAGCGCAAAATTCCAATTTTCTTGTCTACCTCAAAGAAGCAAGGAACCTTGTCATTTTTGCCAGTGGTAGGGCATAGCAGAAGTAATGGAAGCTGAGGAAGAGGATAACAGTGCCTGTTTGTGACGGCTTTAACGAGCAGTGCTTGCCAAGATGAACAAACAAAACCAAAATTATAGAAGTCCTTGAAGCTCAATCTTCTTAATATTGATTCTGCAACTTCTTGGTTCAGATGATTCCAGTTTTCGCTGTATTTCTTTTTTGGCATTTTCTTCGCAGCATTGCTTTGAAAGCCCATAGTGATATATCATAACCTATATTAATATAAGTTTGAATTTGAGTCTTTATAATATATATCTATATATATAATCTCATCAACAAAAAATAATCACAATCAATGACAAGTAAAGATTTTACAACGAAGTTGTTTGAATTCTCAATTAATAATCTTATATACATGATGGAAAAATTACAAATTTCCTTCAAATCATACGGACACTATTGATTTGGAGATTATGAAAAACAAGCCAAAGTAGAAAAGGGGAAAAAGAAAAGAAAAGAAAAGTACCTTTGGTGGGTAGCAACACTTTGAACTGATTCTTCAATCATTCAGCCTCTATGCTGCGATGCAATTGAGGAGCAAGGATTATATATAGAGGACTCGCGGTTTATTTTATAATTTGAATAATTAGTTTATCTTATCTCCCTGTAGTTTTTTTAATTTGAAATTGAAATTTTGATCTTTGAATTACCTTGTACAATGATTACCTTTTTTTTTTATTGAGAAACACGTATTTAAAAAAAATTTCCCCTTGCATTTACAGGAATTACTTCTAGTTTTTTTTTTCCTAACTAGCTTATTGGTGGGTTATTTCTATTTTTTTAGATATAATTTATCTAATTTGAAATTATCTTGGTACTAAGATGTTGATTATTTTTTCTGATCGAGGCCAGAATCTTATCAAATCTGATTATGATCTTTTGCAAATGCTGGTTTTAAATGCCTTCCTTATAATTAAATATTTTATCAAAAGAAAACTAATTTTAAAAAAACCAAAAATAAAACTTATTTATTTCTACTTTGTAAATTAACTTTTAGTTTAATGATGTAATTCTAAACATTTCTAAAATTTTTAAAACAAAACTTATTTGTGTTAATGTTACAATTTTTAATATCTTAAAATATTTTGAAGTTGTTTTTTTTTAACATCAATATTTTGAAGTTGTTAGTTATCTATTTTAAGCCTTAAAGACATTTTAATTATAATTATTATATTACTTAACAGTTTTTTATTAACAAGGTCATAATTTTCCATTAACTTCACTATTTAGCAATGTTAAAAGTTAGAAAGCTTTTTACAACATTTTAAAAATTAAGGGACCAACATAAAATAAAAACAAAGTTAACGGATTAGAGTAAATTATACGTCAAAGTTATACACTACATATACTTTTGCCTATTAGCGCCTTCAACTTTGTGTAGCTTGTTGTGAGTTATGAATAAGGATCACCGTTTTTTTTTGTGTGTTTTAACCTTAAAAAAACCGTCCAAACATATTTTGTTTGGGAATAAAATCAAGGGATAATTAATCTCCAGGTCCTTATAGTTTCATCTGATTTTTAATTAGGTCCTTATAAAAAATTTTCTTTTTATCAGATCCTTTTACTTTCGTGTGTTTTTAATTAGGTCCTCTATTTTTTTTTCTTTTTATCAGGTTCTTATAGTTTCGCTTATTTTTTAATTAGGTGCCTTGTAGTTTTTGAAAAATTATTTATTAACTTTATTCTTTAAAATTAATTTTATTTTTAAATTAATAATTATATAATTGGAAAAAATAATTAATATAATCATTTAGTAATTAATAAATAATCAGAATAATAATTATACTTAAATATAAATTATTTATAATCATATTTTAATTTTAGAAAAATTTATTATTATAATTTGAATTTTATAATTATAAAAATTCAAATTGAAAGTAAATAATATATTTGTTTAACTAAAAATTTAAAAGAATATTAACATAAGATTGTTACAATAATTTATTATTTTTAAAATGTTATTATTTGTAAAATAAAGAATAAAAACTACAAGGATCTAATTAAAAACAAAGTAAAACAATAAGGACCTGATAAAAAGAAAAAAAATTATAAGGACTTGATTAAAAATATATGAAAGTATAAGAACCTGATAAAAAGAAAAAAAATTATAGAGACTTGATTAAAAACCAGTTGAAACTATAAAGACTTATATATTAATTATCCCTAAAATCAAGATGCCCTAAGAATACATCGTGATTGAACAATATAAATAATTAAAAAAAGAAATAGTTTAGAAAAAGGAAAGAGAAGTTTATAAGGACTTCAATTACAGGCAAGCTTTTTTAAAACTGTCCAAACATATTTTGTTTGGGAACAAAATCAAGATTGCCCTAAGAATACATCGTGATTGAACAATATAAATAATTAAAAAAAGAAATAGTTTAGAAAAAGGAAAGAGAAGTTTATAAGGACTTCAATTACAGGCAAACTTTTTTAAAATGAAAGTCATTATTTTGCACATAGTTAAACAAATACTCCTCCAGTCCTAAATATAAAACCTTTATTTAGAATCGAAAGAGTATTATACATACCCAGCTAAAGAAGAGTTAGACACACTCAAATTCGGATTCTTTCTAATAAATAAAATTTTTAAATAAGTACTTTAAACCAATCTTTAGTTTTAATTTTAGAGTCTCATGAAATTGAAGCAAAAGGATCCACAGAACACATCATGATTGAACAGTCGCAGTTTGTGTGAGAAAACAGTGGATGATAATTATACTTGAGTGAGGAGGAAGCTGAATCTCTGTTGGATAAGTTTAAAATGTCTCATTCCCAAACCAAATCCGTTTGAGTATCTGAATTTTATATTGATTTTAATATCCTATGTCACTTTCTTCGTCCCTCTTTTTTCGTCCCATCTCAATCTTGAAAGGTCATATTAGCCCCTGTATCCACACTCTATTCAATTCTTTTTTGTTATATTACGTATCATCATCATCATCGGTATGAAAATATTAAAACTTCAAGAACTATGTAAAACCCATGACCCATAATCTAATAAAGTGCACAAATTATATTATACTACTTAGAAAAATTTTATTAATTGAAATTAAATTTATATTATTTATACTTTATTTTTTTAAAATTTTCAAAATTATTCTTGTTTTAAATAAATCCAAAAAGTGAGATAAAATTATATTTTGTGAACTCAGAAATATTTTATTTTTTTTACCGAAAGAAATATTTTGACATGAAAACTACAAAAAATTAAAATTTAAACCTCAGTCTATCCATTTGTTCAAACTTAATGGGCCCGTTTGGAATAACTTATAAGTAGTTTTTTAATTGTGATTCACAAAATGCGAAATAAATATGTAAAAGGAGTTTTACCCTTACTTACATAAAACGTGCTTATAAATTATTTTAACCATGATAGCAAATAGAGCCAATATTGCATCAATTGATTTAAGCTTTTTTGTATTTTGTAATATCTCCATGTATCTTCATTAACGTATTGAATTATTTTTAAATATATTCATATATTATCCATAGTAAATTTCTTAATTACATTGTTGATGACAGAATTTGAACTTAAGCCACTGGCCACTCTGACCTTTGTCCGCTTCCAAAGTTTGTACAGATGAACAAAATATACAGATGGCGTCAATCACGAGCTTCCACGATGATTTTGGTCTCCAAACAAGGGAAGATGCCTTCCTCTCCCATGGTAACACGAAATTAAGAATCCGATGAAAGTGTCACAGTGACGATGTGGGGTACTGACAAAGCCGCCCCACCTCATTGCAATTTGTGAATCTCATCCATCTAAGGACCTGTTTGGATAACAAGCCAAACTATATTTTGGGAAAAAAATCATCCAAACAAATACAAATTATCTGAAATTATGATTTAGGTCAAAATCATAGTTTTGGAACTCAAGACCATGATTTCAAGAAAAGTGAATTCATTCTGCTTCTTGTTCAAATTGGAGAGTATGCTTATGCCTATCAGAGTAGATCTCAACAATAATATGACTTTAACACCCTTTAATTTTTTTATAAACATATTTAACCTTATATCTTATAAATATATATACACATATTAATTATTTATTAATTACGTTATCTTATGTATTATTAATTATGTTGGTAAAAAATATATTATTAATAATTTTATTTCTTCTAATTAAAATATATTATAAAATCTATGTTTTATGTAATTATCATATTAACTTATTTTTTTTTAGTAATTTATATATATAAAAAGTGCTTCTGATAACAACTATCCAAACACTCTCATTTTATCAGAATCACTTTTTCACAAAATCTATTATCCCAGAATCTATTTTCCAGAAGTTATTCTCCAAAACATAATTTAGTTTCCAAACACCCTTTTAAACTCGGGATCCACGCCCACGATAACATTTAACCCGACTCAACCATGGATTAAGGCGAGATCCTTTACTTTTAAATACCCCCATCAACCCAGCATGGAATTCCTATCTTCCTTCCTTCTTTCTTTCTTTCTGACAGTTTGACAGGATCAGAATTTCAGGATGTTGGCTATTTTTCACAAGGCGTTTGCTCACCCACCAGAAGAGCTCAACAGTCCTGCTTCGTACAAAGGGTCCAAGAAGCCTAAGCTTCCTGAGGAGACTCTCACAGAGTTTCTTTCTCACCATCCTGAAAACACTTGCTCTATGAGCTTTGGTGAGGCTGCTGTGCTTGCTTATGTCCGCCCTGAGCAACAATTCTCCGTTCGTCAGAGGTAGTTTTTCATCGTACAGTGTCTTTCTGACATGTTTTTTAATTGCTCGTTTCTAGACCCAATTTGTCTCGTTGCGTTTACCACATCAAGCAAAGATGGTTGTTTTTCTGTTTCTTAATTCTCTATCAACTAGGTTGGAGAAAACCCACTGTGTTTTCTCTTCTCTCCACCGAAGATCCTTGTGTTTTGCTTGTGGTTCATTGTCTTAAGATGCAGAAGCCCCACTCTGGAATTTTCACATTCGCAGGTTGTTTTGCGGGCACGAAGACATATACTGTCTCTTTCTGGGGAGCTTGAACAATTTAAATGTTCTGAATAAGCAATATGGGTTGACAAAGGGCGCCAACGAGGCCATGTTTGTGATTGAAGCTTACAAGACTCTTAGAGACAGGGGACCTTACCCTGCAGATCAAGTGGTGAAGGATCTTGATGGCAGCTTTGCCTTTGTTGTCTATGACAGCAAGGTTGGAAGCGTTTTTGCTGCACTGGTATGTACCACGTTTTCCAGATCGAAACCAGTTAATTTGCGACCAGCTAATCCATACTGATCATAAAGAATTTCACCAAAAAATAAGAAAAGAGAAAGCAAACATAATTGATATATGAAATTGAAAAGATGAATTTGATTTCAGGGTTCAGATGGTGGAGTGAAGCTGTACTGGGGAATTGCAGCAGATGGGTCTGTGGTTATCTCTGATGATCTCGAAGTCATAAAAGAGGGGTGTGCCAAATCCTTTGCTCCCTTTCCAACAGGTACTGTTTCAGCTCCATGGAGATATCTCTAGGTCAATTTGGCGTATTAAAGACAATAAGTGGCTTAGTATGGCCTAAACCATCTTAAGTACCCTTCCTCTCAGATTATATATGCTAGTTTACGGGCTAAGGATTTCCAAGGAATTATAGATACTCAATTTCTGCAAGAAGAGAAAGTGGATAAAGATGATGAAGGTGGTGGTGATTGTATATGTGTTGTATTTGCAGGGTGTATGTTTCACAGTGAAGGAGGACTGATGAGCTTTGAGCATCCAATGAATAAGGTGAAGGCGATGCCAAGGACTGACAGTGAAGGGGCCATGTGTGGGGCCAACTTCAAGGTTGATAAATTCACCAGAGTCAACAGTATTCCTCGCGTTGGAAGTGAAACCAACTGGATGGATTGGGACCAACGCTAAGCTTACTTATTACTTTACATTTTCTTTAATGAGAAGCACACAGCTAGGTCCCACCCCTATCTCTCCCTCACTTCCCTTCTTAAGTGTTCTGTAGAATGATGAGAAGATAAGCTAAAGTCTTGAGATGTAAATTGAAGAAAAAGTTGGTGTTGCCGTCGTACAATCATGTCACTCCCTCAATCTTATCCTTACGTAACAAAGTGACCCCTTGTTCTAATAATGTCATGTTTCCTTCTGAATATCAAACGTTGGAGTAGTCTTTTTTGTACATTTTGGCCTTGTTGCACCAATTAAGAAGGAGCTTATGATATAAAATTATGTTTGATTCTGTTAAGGGGAACAAATATTAAAAATTGGAGTGGTAGGCACTGTCCACCTAAGATTATTTCATGGTTCACTTGCTTTGGAAGATTGAAGCAGGTTAAATAGTCCATTATGCTTGAACTCGAGCTTTTCTACGCATATTTGCACTTTATTAGATTTTCCAATATAAACATGACATATAAAGCTTTAATTGAAAAAGAAACGGAAAAAGTTAACACCGTATAATTAGATATTTCAAAATAGTGCGTCCACATGTAAACAACCAAGAATCTCATTCTCTCCTTTTTACTTGCACACATAGTAATTGGTGTGCTTTGGAACAGAGATGCTGTACGAATTTTCTGCTCTGGAAAAATCTTGGAAAGAAGGGAATTTGTCAAACACATTGAACAAGCAAAATTTCTGGAGGCTACTATCACCTGAGCAAGTCTCTATCCTGCTTCATCTTTCAGAGGCATAGCCTTCGGTGATGCACTATTAAAATGAAGTAGAATGTGTTATCTAAACGAGCCCGCAGGGGCAATGCTTGCATCCAGCATAAAGGGAAGCAAATGTAATCCCAGTTTCCTCATGGTTCCTTCTGTGAAATTCCGAGTCTCCAACGTTATGAGCATATTTGCCCACTTTGCTGTCACTCCCTGTATGCCTTAACACCATATCAATCATAGCTCAATTTTTTTAAGTCCAGTTAAGCCTCCAGCAAATCCTCTCTAATCACCAAGGTTGGCTATGAGTCGTGCATTCCCAAGGTGTTTGTGCTTCCTGTTCAATTCAACAAAAAAAACGGCTTATGAAATAGATTTAAGAAATTGGAACTGTGTTAAAGAACAGTATTGTTATGACATACTGACTTGCGTTTGACTTGCACTCAAGATAAAAACAAAATACTTTACAGTTACAGATGCACACATTAGACATAATTTGAACACATTTGACCCCAGGAAGGGGGGGGATAGATTGAGACAGAAACCTATCAATGAGAGCATTTTAAATGACAACATTAGGAGCCAATGATTTGCCAGACATTCTTTCTTTTAAAAAGATCCATAGCTTCGTCCACGATTTTGATTTTACAATATCCGTTAATCAACGGAATAAAATTCAGATGCCTCAGTTACGGGTCTTTCTTTGTTAAATGTCATCAGTGATTGTGTTATAAATCACTGAATTGCAATTCACGGGCAGTTCTTCATTTTCCAGTATAACATAACCAATCTGCTAAGGTGCCATAAGTAATGACGTTCAATTAAAATCCTTTTGTCAACGAACCATCATAAAGTGTGGTGCTTTCCCGACCTCAGTATTCATACAAAGTCCTTTCATAATCGTATTTAACGTTACAGTATACGGTTGATAACCCCGCTTGAAAATCCTCCCGAGTGAAGAAGAGAAAGCGCAAGCCATGTCACCATATTCGGTAATGTTTGTTCTTTGCAAGTGATCCTAAAAGCTTGTTCATTTGGACAATGGAGGGAGGAGGATACGGTTGAACAAAGCCACATAATGTTGGACGCTTCGAGGACTTGGGAAATGGGAATGAACACAAAACTTCAGAATGAATGCACAAGAGAGAGAGAAGGATTCGGGGATGGCATACCCAGTTGCAGCTGAAGACTTTTTCTGGCCCTTTACCTTTGACCCTAGTCCAACAACATAAGACAATACACGGCCCAATCCAACAGAAGGCACAACACAGAAACCGTAAATGCGGCTCGTTCGGATTGGAAGAAGAATCTTCGAAGTCCGACTATTCTGCGCCGAAGGCGAAATCTGACGCTTAAGCCCAAGACCTTTTTTTTTTTTTTTGAAATTCTGTATCCAGTTATTGAATTATATTTTTAAATATTATTAAACCCAAACAATGGGTAATCATTCCTGTATCATTTTTTCACAGTTTTGAAGGGCGTCAAGAAAAAGTTTAAGGAAAAAATGAAATTATCTTTATGATTTTTATTTATTTTTTCTTCTGTAACATACCGTGTATTGAGAATAATTTATTTATATTCACTATAAATAATCCAGACTCAAACGTAACCTGTGATCCTAAACGGGATCACCAGGTCAAACTAAGAACCCAGTTATTCGGCTGTTTTCACTCTCCTTCTACCGCAATATAAGTTTTGCCCCATTTCTCAAATTTCAACCATGGGAACTCCACATGCCTGATTTCTGCATTCACGGTCCTTTTCACTGATTCTGAACTTGAAGAAGACCATACAAGCAACCAGGTATTCTTGCTCTTGTTCTTTGCCATCTCCAGGTCTCATCTTTCTTTTAGATTATATGCTGTCTTCGGCTGCAAATCATTGAGTTGTTGCATGAAGGGACGCTACTGCAAGCTTAATTCCTTCATTTTCTAGCTTAAGGCCTATACACACATATATTCGTTTTAAGTGTCAAACAGCTTATAAAATTCAAGGTGAAAAACAACAGCTTATAAATTGTTTTGGTTAGATTTCCCAGCAATATTAGTGGTCATGGAAATGTTCCCCATAAGGTGATAATTTCGTCAAGGTAAATATCTCATTAAACGAGACTCCCATCTTCCACATTTGTTATTATAGCTTCCACTCTTTACCTTCTCTGTTTTTGTTTTTGAATTAAAAAGGCAGATATTAATTATCTGAGGTCATTAATTGGCTGAGGTCTCAAACGGAATTGAACCCGCCCCCTACCTATGAGGAAACTCTCATGTCAATAAGATATTATATACCTTCTCTGCATATCATGGTTCTAACCATATGCAGATTGCAGATTGCAGATTGCAGATTGCAGATTGATAATCCCTAATAAAATATCTCGAGCCTAGATTGGAGGTATTATAACTCTGCGCTATTCTCAAACACCATTTCCATCCACTTCTATGTGTGATTTGCATTAACATTGCACGACACACTGGATTACAACAAAACTGTAAACTAGTGTAAAAGAATTTCCATTGACATTTGTCAGTCAATAAGCTTTTCCCATTCTCATTACTCTACATTTCCCGACTACATGAACCCAATAGGTTTCTAAATTCCTGCTGTACTTTTTCTTTCTCTTTTTTCCCCCTCTTTTTAACAATTTCTTTTCCCCCTTTCTGCACCAATCGGAATGGCAACCTATCTCCTCATCCGATGAGCACAAGGACAAGGAAGGAAATGGAACCCCTCTACTATAACAAATCTCACCCAATATCTGTACAAATCTTCAACTAATGGAGAAAGTGAAATCTACCACCTTCTGAGATGAAAATCATCAACCCAATTCTCCCCAGGCACTCTACATCACCTCTTCATTATATCCGAAGTGGCAATCCAAAATTTTGGAAAGTTCTAATTTCCCCTCGAAGGCCAGCAGTTACAATCACCATACCCCACGCTGACATGTTTTGGCTCACCCCACTGGAGAGATCTATGCTGACTCGAGGGGTTCGGTTCCGTGCAGCTACAACAAGTTTTTCCTCTGGCCACGTCGCAGAAATTCTATCAAAGAAGTAATCGTTTGTTGTGCTTGCAATTGTTCCATGAAGAGGACTGTTGGTGCATCCTGATGCCGATTGCGAACCATCAGTACCAAAATTATCCTCCACCGGGGTAGGAGGATGATTAGCAGACATGACATCATCCAGAATATTATCATCACCGGTCTGTTCTCCAGACAAAGTCTCAGGCATTTCCCAGGCATCGCCCATACCAGGCCAGGGAATTGCCACTGAAACATCTTTACAGTGAAAATGTTCATACGATTGCGTTACAGTAACACCTTTGCTCCGGTTAGGTCTGCAATCAGCTTCATTTTTCCATATATACACATGGGAATCCGCACTTGCTGAGATTACATATTTTCCATTTGCTGTGAGAGAGGCAGAAATCTGGCTATTTGGGTTACGAAATCCTGCACAACACCAAGTCAGATTATTCTCAAGCCAAAACCAAAATGAAAACATAGTGAAGAACACCATCTCTTCACATACTTCATGCCAATCTAAAGAAAGCTGAAATAAAAGATGTTCACCAAGAAACCAAAGAATAATGAGACAAATAAAGAAATTCTCAATCCAAAAGAAATCTCCACACTACACCGCAACTTACCCTATAACATATGATAGCGATAAAACATGGATGCACAAACTATATTAAGACTATAAATCTAGGTAAATACAAGGACTGCTCGATATTTGATGCCAGCATAGGGTTTGCTGGCTAGAATCAATTGGAGGAGAAAGCTCAGTGGCTGAGGTCGTTGAGAATAAACTCCACATCTCTCATCTAAACCAGCAAAACAATATAGTCTAAATTTTGACCAGATCATAGGATAGCATCAAATCCAAAAGCCTCCATTCAGATGAAAGTAATTTACTAAAAATTGTTATCCTCACTTGTTATACTATTTTTACAAATTTAAGCATTAATTTTACCTTTGAACTTATGAACCAGATCAACACCATCAACAACCCGAATTCTTGAATCAGCAGACGTGATAAGTACTTCTGAAGAACTTCCCGGGGCAAACTGTTGAAAAAAATCAAGTACCAAGAAAGACATCAGTCAAGGTAAATATACAAGATCATGCGTTCTCCTGTTATTCAAACCCCCCCCCCCCAAAAAAAAAAATTGAAAACCAAAAGGAGGAGGGGTTGCTTTCATATAACACAGCTACTAAGCCATTAAATACCTGGAAGCCAGTGATTTTCTTGTGATGCGATCTCTTTTTCTTGTTCTGCAAATTGATTTGACTTTTCTGTTGCAACTTATTATCTGAATGAAATTTGAAAACAATATTACAGTCAGCAATTCTACAATCGTACTAATGTCCCTTAAAAGGATATATTTAGAATATGAGGTGTCACTAAAAGTACCAGATGTATCATATAAATGGCAGCTACCCTTGTAAGAACCAATTAACGCACCCTGCAAAAGCCAGCAACCTTTACTTTATTACAACTCACCAAGTGAACTTTGAAAGCTTGAAATGATACATATTAACGACTGACAACCTGCCCATCAGATGTATAGCAAG